TTAGGTTTTAGGGATCAGGGTTTAGGGTTTAGGGTTCAGGGTTTAGGGTTTAGGGTTCAGGGTTTGGGGTGTAGGGTTTGGGGTTTAGGGTTTGGGCTCCTTGAGGCACCTTTGGCAAATCGGCAGCTCCTTCGCCGGCAGGGAGAGGTCGGGAGCCAAGATGATCCTGGTAAGGGCTTCTGCGTTCCTTTAAAGGGTTCCTTTAAAGGGTTCTATCAGAGTTTAGGGTTTAGGGTTCCTTTAAAGGGTTCCTTTACTTAGGAGCCCAATAGGTACACTTTAAACTTTTTTGGTATATTAAACCCCTACTAAAAGAAAAGTTTAAACTTTTTTGGGCCATGGTATTGGGCTTTAAGGAAAGGGTTCCTTTAAAGGGTTCTACAAGAGTTTAGGGTTTCGGGGCCTTAATAATTAGACTAGGGTTTGGGTTTAGTGGTTAGAACACCGTTCCGTTATGACAGGGGTTCTGCAAGGGATCTATAGTGCAGATATAGTAAGGGTTCTAAAAGATGGATTCCTTTCAGGTTACGGCTGGGGCTTCAACAACTAGAAAAGGATTTCTTAAGGGGATCCATAATCAGGGTGCTGCAATATGGGTCCCTTCATAAAAGGGTTCCTTTAAGGCTTTTTAGACTTGTTGGGTGTACAATGCTTGGGATATTTCGAGGCACTTGACAAATGAGTGCTGAAGGAGCCGGACACTCTCTATAAGGCTCTTGGCTACTTAGTTGTTGTTAGGCATTGTTGGGTTATGGCTTTTGGGGATCTGAGAAGGACGTTTCTGCTGACCTTCTAAGGGGAGTGGAGCGAGACCTTTTTTCCCCGTGTTCAAGGGCTTAGGCCTGCCAACCCAAAAACACTGCATAGAATCCATAGAATCTGCCCGAAGATGCTGCATTGGGGTTTACGGCTAAGGGTTTAAATGAGCTCCTCCGTGAGTAGCTGAAATCACAGATGTCTGTGCTTACGAGCAAGAAAAGCCGTCTAAATACTTCAGGCCGTGGCCGTGGGGTGTGTAACGTATCGGTATCAGGTACCTCGTTTATGTGAATAAGGTAGTTGGTATCCCTATTCTAGTTGGACGAAGCTAGGTTCAATTAAACCCGAAACCGTAAACCCTGAATGCTGGCCCGGTTTGCTCCGCCTTCGGACTCTAAACTCTGAGCCCCAAACCCCGGCCCTGACCCAAAACATCCTGCAACTTGTCAGGTCAACTGCGCGTTGCCTTTGTCTTGGGCTCCGTCCAGGCAAAGACGGAATCTAAAACCGATTGTCTTGGGGGTTTTATACCAGGCAGGCATCGAAACCTGCTAGTGTTGTAGAGTTTGCGTGTCCCGCACCCGCATCCCAGGCAAAATGCACGTAGCTCAACCTTCTCCGGCCTGGATCGGCATTCGTGTTCAGGGCTCTTCAGGTTGAGCGGTTCAGGGCTTCAGGTGTAGTGGTCAGTCAGGACTCCAAACGGCGTCCGAAGGTAGAGGCGTTCCCAAACCCGCTCCCGTTCGCAACTCCTGTTCATCCTCGGCTCGAGGGCCAATAAGATGATAATAGCAACAGCAGTAACAACGACAATGAGGACGGCAACGACAGCGACAGCAGCAACAGCAACAGCAACAGCAACAGCAACAGCAACAGCAACAGCAACAGCAACAGCAGCAGCAGCAGCAACAACAACAACAACAACAACAACGCTATCAATAACAAAACCAATGACAACAGCAACGATAACGAGAGCTTGAGGGTTGAAGGGTTAGGCTTTGGTCTGAATGGCCCAAACCCTTAACTCCGTTGATATGGACGTCTAAACCATCACCAATATTATTCCTTAGGGTTCCACGTTATACGTACAAGACAGTATACCCCAAAAACCCTGTTCTAATCAATAAGGGCCCTAGATTACTCAACCCTAAACCCTAAGCCACTCAACCCGAAACTCATAAAGGGCCCTAGATTACTCAACCCTGAACCCTGAGAACCCTAAACTCATCAAGGGCCCTATATTACTCAACCCTAAACCTTCAACTCATTAAGGGCCCTAAATTACTCAAACCTAAACCTTAAACGCATTACGGGCCCTGTATTACTCAACCCTAAACCTAAAACGCATTAAGGGCCCTATATTACTCATCCCTAATCCTTCAACTCACTAAGGGTCCTAACTACATCGCAATGCCCTCAGAGTTTAGCTTGGAAGACCCAAAAGCGGGTGATCTGACCCTAAACCCCAAAACCCTAAAACCCTAAGCCCTTAAAAACTAAAACCCTAAAACCTAAAACCCTAAAACCCTAAACCCTAAACCCTAAAACCTTAAACCCCAAAACCCTAAAACCTAAAACCCTAAGCCCTTAGAGTTTCAGCAACATGAAGGCCTCAGTTTAGGGCTTTGGGTTTAGGGCCGTTTATGGTTTTGGGCTTTGGGTTTAGGGTCGTTTGGGGTTTAGGGCTTAGAGTTCAGGGGAGTTTAGGGCTTAGGGCTTAGAGTTCAGGGGAGTTTAGGGCTTAGGGTTCGAGGTTTAGGGGAGTTTAGGGTTTAGGGTTTAGGGTTTAGGGTTTAAGGAGTGGCATCCTGAATAAACCGGACATTTAACCAGAAAGACACCCCTGAGAACCCCTTCCCTAGGGTTCCTCCTTATAAGTATAGTATGATATACCCCAAACCCCTCATCTAATTGTGAAAGACCATAGAAAACCCTAAATCTAGGACATTTTCAGGTGGGTAGTTACCGTTGTAGAAGCCTTATAGAAGGTCTATATACCTTATGGAAGCCTTATAGAAGGCCTATATAGCCCTAAACTCCCCACCTGTAGTTTCCTTTAACTAAACCCTAGAATCTTGCTGAGGCCGCTGCACTTTTACGAAGGAAGCCTCGGCTACGGGCGCGAGCCGCCCCTGTGCCGGCGGGCTTGAATTTGGATGGGCTCCCATTTTTGGGGGTTTTGGGGTTTGGGGCTTCGAATATGATAGGAACTCCGCTTCTGGGATTAGGTTTCTGGGTAGGGTTTTGAGTTTGCTTTGTCCGGTTCGCTCCAGAGTGGTGCTTTCACTATCTTAGTAGCTGAATGGGTGTTAGTTTAAGCTTTAGACTGGGAGTGGTAGTGGTAGTGGTCGCGGTGGCGGCGGCGGCGGTGGTGGTGGTGGTGGTGGCAGTAGTAGTAGTAGTAGTAGTAGTAGTAGTAGTAGTAGATGCTAGTGACTAGTGAACCGTTGTAGTCGTCGTCCTCAATGTGTTCGGATTTTGTTTGTGCCACGCATCCTGTTCGAGTTACGGCTGTGCTGAATAATGCTGCGTGAACGGGAGTGAGCATAAAGTCCGGCCGTCTTTGGATCTCGGCCCTTGTAGAAAACCCTTATAGATCCCTTAAAATAAAGCCCTTATAAACAACCCTTACGGGTCCCTCATATAGAGCCCTTATGGAAACCTTGGGAATCCCTTCTATACCGCCCGTGTAGAAACCTTAAATCTTAAAGCCCTGGAACCCTCCTTGCTCCTTTTGAGAGCTATGTTGGGGAACCGCCCGCAGTCGATCTCGGCAACAGACAGTGCTCTCGCGGCAGCGTAAACCCGCATACCTGGGCCGGTACCCTGACAAACCTACTCAATGCGTGTTTAGGGCAATGGAAACAGCAGCACAAGCCGTCAACGCACGAGCTGTCATGAACCTTAGATTCATGCTGATACCTATGCTCGTATTCCAACCCCAAAGTCAGCTATCGGGTTTAGTGCAAAACCCTAAACCCTAAACCTTAAACTCTAAACCGGCAAGTGTAGACCGCTACCCAGTGCAGCCGAACCTCCAGACTTTCTGGTCTCACTCATGCCTCTTCTGTCTGGTGCTTAGTAGGGACTGGGGAATGGGTTATAGGGACTACTATAAGGGACCTTAAGGGACTATCATAGGGATCCATTCCCCCATTCCCTACCAAGCACCAGACAGTCTTGTGGCACTTTGCTCGATCCCAGGTTAGACGAGGAGGAGGAAGACGACTTGCAGGAGGAAGATGCCGACGACTATGACGACGACTATGACGACTATGAGGCGCGGGTTTTCGACGTTTGTTCTTGTTCTGGGGGCAAGGAGGCTGTGGCAATCTAGAAGCTTGAAGCCCAGCTTGAATACCTACCAATGATATCTTTTCGGGTTCTTCAATATACCCAATGTATATCCCGGAACCCTTTTCTGACTAAGACGCCCCCATTGAATGAAACCCTAAGGCTCCATGAATGCCTTAGAGAACCCTTACAAGAACCCTGATATATTTGTTTTGGCTCGAAAAACAAAACATGACACCCCTGATGATTAAGGCTCCTTGATTAGGTCGGAGGCCTAAACCCTAAACCCCCAACTACTAACCCCCTGGGCCCTAAACCCTAAACTCCTAAACCCGAAGCTCCTAAACTCTCAACCCTAAACCTGAACCCTCAGACCCTTAAACCCAAAGTCCGGATCTCATTCGTGCCTCCATGGACTTCACCGAAGAGGGTCCCGAATAGTTGGCCCTATCCGTCATCTGAAATCAGGGGGTTTAGGGTTTAGGGTCTGGCATCCTTTCAGTTTCTCCGTAGTGGTGGTGGCCTTAGTAGTAATAGTACTGGTACTAGAGTAGTAGTAGTAGTAGTAGCAGCAGCAGCAGCAGCAGGAGTAGTAGCAGTAGTAGTAGTAGTAGTAGTAGTAGTAGTAGTTAGTGGTGGTAGTGGTATTGGTGGTTTCAGCGGTATTGGTGGTAGCGGCAGTGGTGGTAGTCATAGGCCCCTCCCAGCCCACCAACTACCTCTGTAGCACTGTCGACGCCCCTCTGGGTTGGGGAAGGGGGGGGGCGGGGTAACGGTGGGTGCTACAGGTACTACTACTACTACTACTACTACTACTACTACTACTACGACGACGACCACGACGACGACTACTACTACTACTACTGCGACGACGTCGACGACTACGAGCACGACTACGACTATTGCTACTAGTATTTTTATTTTTATTATTATCATCATTATTACTACTACTACTACTACTACTACTACTACTACCACCACTACCACCACTACCACCACTACCACCACTACCACTACCACTACTACTACTTCTTCTTCTTGCAGCAGCAGCAGCAGCAGCAATTCATGGCTTGTGGGATTCTTCAGACTTCGGTTTTTGCCGCTCAAAACCCGTGCCAAGATGAAGTCCCTTTTCAAAGCCTCACAGCAAGCCCGAAACTCCAAACCCAACACCCCTTTTCCAAGGCCTAGACGGAACCTAAAGAAGCTAAACTCTCCCGCAAAGCCCCTTTGAACAACCTTGAAGACGCTCAGGCTTAGACAGCGTTCATAGCCCTGTTATCCACCGCAAGCCAAAAACATATGCGACCCTTGAAATAAAGGGGTTCGAAAGCCCAAAATAAACCAACAACAGTTCCCAAAAGTTGATCTCACTGAACCCCAGAACAAGCCTCCTAAGCCTTGACAAAAAAGATCCGAAGAGAGCAGGTTCCAACCCTGAAGCCCGAACCCCAATAGATCCCTGACGTGCCCCAAACCCTATACCCCAAGCCCTGAACTCTGCACCCTAGCCTAAACCCTAAACCGAAAACCGAACCATAAACAGAACAACCTTAACAAACCCTAAAACCCTAAGCTGCAAACCGAACGGTAAAAGAACAACCTTCAAAAATCCCAAACCCTAAACCCTAAACCATTTTAGATCCGCAAGGACGATCCGAACTACGAGGGACCCTGGCAGCCTTCTGGCCGAAGAAGCATTCTGGGTCTCCTTTTCGGTCTCCACAAGTATTGGGGTTTAGGGTTCAAGGTCTCCTTTCGGTTTCCTTAAGTATTGGGGTTTAGGGTTCAAGGGTTCCTTTTCGGTCTCAATCACTTGGGGTTCAGGGTTCGAGGTTTCTTTTTCGGTCTCCTTAAGTATTGGGGTTTGGGGTTCAAGGGTTCCTTTTAGGTCTCCATAACTTGGGGGTTCAGGGTTCGAGGTTTCCTTTTCGGTCTCCATAAGTATTGGGGTTTAGGGTTCAAGGGTTCCTTTTAGGTCTCCATAACTTGGGGTTTAGGGTTCAAGGGTTCCTTTGAGGTCTCCTTGAGTTGGGGTTTAGGGTTCCAGGCTTCTTTTTCGGTCTTTATAAGGCTTGTTCTCTAAGTTAGGATCTCTTTTAGAGGCCTGGCTACAAGGGTGCAGTACTGTTTTGGGGACCTACAAAGGAACCCTAATTTAGAGAGCTACGCATATAATCCCAACATGTAATCCGATCAGAACAGCCAAGCTTAGACTCCAAACCCGGAGCCCCAAACCCCGAACCGGTAAACCCTAAACCCTAATGTAAGGACCTAAAGGGCTTTGGGTTCCTGAAAAAAGTCTAGTAGAATATACCCCCGAACCCGAGTTTAATTATTGAGGCCCCTTAAAGTAAACCCTCCCATGGTGAAGTGGTGGCTGCCTTCAGAACGCTGGTGGTCTCGATCCGTTGACTGGGGAAGTCCTGGGATACGGGTTGAACCTCATCTTACGTGTAGCGGTGATGGCTTGTGTGTAGTCCTACCATATCAGCACTTTCTATTCGCGCCACGGTCGCATACATCAACGCCCCATTTCCTGCGTTGGCAGCGAAACCGTTTGACAGTTCGGCTTCCCGAGTCACAACGAAGGACGAAGTTGAGACCCACGTGTGTGACTCCCCACCGGAACCTGAAGAAGGTTAGTGACTCAAAAGCGATCGCCTCAAGCCTACAAGCACTCGCTGCCTCAGCCGTGTCAGGAGATAACGGCACAATATTTCCCAAACCCAAAACCCTAAACCCGGAGGAAAAAGGCACCCGGGGACCCATACGCAACGACCTTCATGCTTCGCCCAAAACGAAACAAAACCCAAAACCCTAAACTCTGAGCCCTAAACCCTGGACCCTGAACCCTAAACCCTGAACCATAAACCCTAAACCCTGAGCCCTAAACCCTTCACCCTGAGCCCTAAATCCTAAACCCTGAGCCGGTAAACCCAAACCCCTGAACCGGTAAACCCTGAACCCTAAGCCTGGCATTTGTTGAGACCGAGGCACGCTCTCTCCCTTCTTCAAGCCATGCAGGGACCCCTGTGTATCCGGGTTTAGGGTTTGGGGAGTAGGGTTTCAGGGTTTAGTGTTCCGAGTTCAGGGATTAGGGTTGAGGGTGGGGTTAGGATTCAGGGTTTAAGGTTTAGGGTTTAGGGTTGAAGGGTTTAGAGTTCAGGGTTGAGGCTTCAGGGTTTAAGGTTCAAGGTTCAAGGGTGTAGGGTCTACCCACAGGCCCGATAGTAGTTCCTTCTTGGGATTACTTTATAGGATTTTTAAATATGAACCCCAAAAAGGAACTACTATGGGGCCTATGGGTAGACTTGAGGGTGTGGTGGCTCGCGCTTGGGGGTTTAGGGTTTCGGGGGCTTCAGCGTGGGGCTCCCTGTCCGTGCCACCCCTACGCTTTACGCTTTAGGGTTTAGGGTTTTAGGGTTTACGGTTCAGGGTTTAGGGTTTCAGGGTTTAGGGTTCAGGGCTTTAGTGTTTTAGGGTTTTAGGGTTTTAGGGTTTAGGGTTTAGGGTTTAGGGCTTCGGAATTGAATTGTAACTGATATGGAACAACTGGTGCGTTACTGGTTAGGGTGTAGTGGTTTAGGAGAACCCTTTGTATGGAAGATCTATTATTGACGCTATGCATGTCGCCTCACTTTCTCTTTTTTAATGTATGAAGCGGAATAGGATTCGATAGTATTAACAGTTAACATTTTTTTGGATTGAAAGTATGATCTACTCCCCAGCCGTATTCTAATCTGTCAGGCCCCTACATGAAGTTCTTATGGTCACCGGTAACCATGATCTTTCACTTACGATCATCCTGAATAACCCTTTGAAGAACCCCTGTGGCCCCACTACTCTTGTTATGCAGGGTTGTGCCTAAACCCAAACCCTAAACCCCAAACCCTAATCCCTAAACACCAAACCCTCTATCCCAAACTCCAAACCCTAATCCCTAAACCCTAAACCCCGAACCCCAAACCGCTTGTTGCTGTTCGACATCCGGAAACCTAACTTTTTTCGGTCGAGACACAGCCTTTCCATTTCAAGCAAACCAATTTCAATTTCAAGGCTGAGACACCACCCACGCTGTGCCAGAAGCCGCCCCGCGAGCAGCCCCAGCCCAGCCCAGCCTCAATCGCCCGGTACCTGGCAGCGCACGGTAAGCGCGGCCTGGAAGAAAGCAACCCGGGCGCATCACCCGGATGGCACCGGTAACCATGGCAGCTTCTTGCAATTGACCGCTGCGAAGGAGAAACTTGTCGAATGGATTTCTCAATTTAAAAAATCCGCGAAGCATGGCCAGACTGCCATTTGCAGTGTTTCTGCGCCGACTGCCTTCGCGTATTGCTGGACTGCGGCAAGCGCTTGGGCCTGAAGACGAACCATGCACACAGCTGCAGGTTCTTCTCCGAAGATTACGGCATTTTTATGCGGGCGGCGAAACACCGTCCATACCGGCTCCAACTGGCCATGCTAGTGGCCCATGGCAAATCAAAGTGAGGTTTCAAGAACAAAACCTGCCCAAAACGTTTCGGTCAAAACACCCAGAATCCTAAACCCTAAACCCCAAACCCCAAACCCTAAACCCAAAGCTTCAAACCCTAATCCCTAGACCCTAAACCCCGAACCCTAAACCCTAAACCCCAAACCCTGAACCCTAAACCCTGAACCCCAAACCCTGATCCCTAAACCCTAAACCCCGAACCCTAAGCCGTAAACCCCGAGCCCTAAACCCTAAACCCCAAACCCTCCCTACACCCTCAACCCCAAACCCGAATCCCTAAACCCTAAACCCCGAACCCTAAACCGTAAACCCCGAACCCCAAACCCTCAAGACAGGATAAATAGAAATTGTATACCATGACATCGTAGTTCCTGCTTTGATTTGCAGTATGATGCTTATGAACAATTCTGAATAAAGGAACGCATTGTGAAGCCACTTTCATCTTTCAGTCCTGCCCGACCCCACCACCCCATCTCCAGGGCACCGCAGGAGAGAGGTGGGCAGGATAGGAGGCACGCCCCACCCCCCGCCAAAAAAATACGGAAAAGGTTGTTTCTCGGGCTCGCCTCCCACTCCCAACTTAGGACCCTAATGTAGTTTTTTTCAATTTAGGCTTCTATATCATTATCACGTTGTATTGTCGTCTTTTTCGTTTTTTTTATGTAGTTTTAGGGCCGTCGTTTGAACTAGTCTTCTCCCCCAGGATTTCATGGTGGTCTATGTCATAGGCTTAGGTGAAAGTTTGAACTAGGACCTTCATATTTCTAGGTCATAAGCTTAGGAATAAGTTTCCTACCTTATTCTGTTTATGTCTAGGTTTATGTGTAGGTTTCTGTGGTGGCTTTCTCGCTACGACGTCTATGACATCATCTTCAACAAGGTCATACCAGCTCGCTTTTCAGTGATTGCACAAGCCCTTTTAAGGTGAATGCACCAGTAAGTCTGAGCAGTTTGTTTTCACATGTTCCGTAGCAATTCGGATTTCCAGCCTTTATGTTCTTCTTCACTCCCTGTTGTGTTAGCAATGTCCTCCGGCTACGCATCAGAAGGGAAGACAACTACGGGGATGTTTTTGAATAAGTGCAAGCCCCCGAAACCACAAAGGTTTTTTGAATAAGTGCAAGCCCACGGAGCCACAGAGGTAGTATAAAAGTTCTGTTTAAATCACTTGCTTAAAAAAATAAAGCTCCTCCCCCACCCCTCCACCTTTGTGCCCCTGCACCCCTGCACCCCTGCACTCCTACATCCCTACGCCCTGCACCCTACACCCCTACCCCTACACCCACCACTACACCCCTACCCCTTCATCCCCAAACCACCTACACCCCGACACCCCTGCACCCCACCTATGCAGAGGTACAAATAAAAGGGTGTAGGGGTGCAGGGTGTATAGTGTTGTTGGGGTGTAGGGGTGTGGGGGTGAAGGTGTAGGGGTGTAGCGGTGGTGCAGGTTTTTCGGTGTGGGGTGGTGGTGCAGGGGTGCAGGGGTGCAGGGGTGCAGGGGTGCAGGGGTGCAGGGGTGCAGGGGTGCAGGGGTGTAGGGCGTAGGGGTGGAGGGAGGGGTGCAGGGTGGAGGGGCACGGGTGTTTCTAGGGGTGCTTGCAGGGGTTAGGGGTGTAGGGGTGTGGGGTGAGGTCTAGGGGTGCAGGGGTGTAGGGGTGTAGGGGTGTAGGGGTCAGGGGCTCCGCTTATTTAAAATCCGCTTGGCGGCCCGGGCCCGAAGCCAACGGAGGTAGTATAAAATATCTGTTTAGGTATATGGAAATGCTCGTATTTAAGAACTTCACCGTAGTTCTTGGGCAGTTCTTCAGAAGCTGGAGAAAGAGAAGAAGACCCACCACATGTGGAAGATTTTGAAGAGCGAGGACGATGTGACATTGTCTGAGGTTCAGAAGAACACGATTGCAACGATGACGATTGACGAGTTGACCGAGAAGAAGAAAAGCTTGACTACGACAATTCTACCCCAAGTTTTTGAATACAATGAAATCAAGAGCAAGATGTCAAAGCTTGGCTTGAAGGATGACGATGAGGCTCATGAGGACACCGATGAGAAGAAGGACGAGCCTACATTCAAGATTTCGGTAAAGCTCAATTAAGGACGTTCACATCGCGCTTTTGTGGACTCTCGAGAAGGTTATGAACCAGGCTGTTTCCCGAAGTGTAACCCGAAGGCTCAGCTCTA